ATGCCATTGTATATGGTTTCTTTTTTAAAACTTCTGGTGCAATATATGGTAGTACTCCACATATATCATTTTTGTTTAATGATGATGTTTGACTAGCTGGGCATGATAAACCTAAGTCTGCAATATATGCATATATTTGTTCATATTGAAGAATATTACCACTATGAAGATCACGATGAATAATTTCTTTTTCATGAATATCTTTTAAACCATTAATAATACAGTAAAGAATTTCAATTTTGTCACGCCATATTAAATTTTTAAATTCTTTAGTTAAATAATTTTGAAGACTTCCATCTTCCATATATTCCATTACAAATATATATTCTTTTGTAATTGGATCTTGTGTTAATCCATAGGTACGAATTATACCCTTGTTTTTATGAAATTTCACATAATTTTTGAACTAAAACAACAAATAAAATATTTAATTGCAACAATAATAATTAATAATATTTAAAAAATCTGAAAATAAATAAAGAAATAAATAAAATAATTTACCTCATTAAAAAATTCATCAGAAACATTCTGTGAATCATGTAGTTTTTTTAATGCCACAATCTTCTTTGCTCTGCTACCTTTTTCATTTCCACCAACATATTTCAAATCATTTAACCAAGATGCTTTGTATATAGTTGCAAACCCACCTTCACCTATCTTTTCAATAATTGTTAAATCATTATAAGGAATCCATTGAAGATAACAATAATTAGCATTATATGTTGCTTTAAGTTGTGTACTTTTAATCAACTCATCTAATGTTTCATTGCCACTAGTCCATCCTTCAGTTAATAGCTTTGGATCACATGATTGACACCATGAATAATTAGTGTTATATCTATTGCAGGTTGGACATTCCCCATATTTTTCTCTTCTTCCTTTTGAATATTCATCATTTTGAAGACTTCCATCTTCCATGTAATGCATTACAGAGATATATTCTTTTGTAATTGGATCTTGTGTTAACCCATAAATATAAACTTTATCATGAAACTTTGTGTAATTTTTGAGCTAAAATAGCAAATAAAATATTTAATGATAATTAAATATTTAAAGAATCTGAAAATAAACAAAAGAAATAAAAAATTTACCTCACTATGAAATTCATCAGAAATATTCTGTGAATTATGTAGTTTTTTTAATGCCACCGGCATATTCTTGCTAGTTCTTTCATTATTATAATTTATAATTTTATAACCATTTAACCAAATAGCTTTGGATATAGTTGCAAACTCACCTTCACCAATCTTTTCAATGTTTGTTAAATTGTTATAAGGAATCCATTGAAGATGATTACTATAATGATACTTGGTTGCTTCCAGTTGTGTACTTTTAATCAACTCATCTAATGTTTCATTGCCACTAGTCCATCCTTCAGTTAATAGCTTTGGATCACATGATTGACACCATGTCCGATTGGTGTTATATCTATTGCATGTTGGACATTCCCCATATCCTTCATATCTTTTATCAGAATATTCATCATTTTTATGAGTAGAGGTATCGCCATAATGTTTATTTCCATCCAAAGTGTTTTCCATTGTGGTTTTTTATTAAATTTATCAAAAAAAAAAATTTTCGGCCACAAGCATCACACAAAATATATTAATATTTATTTAGATTTTTCTATATTTCCGTTAAAAAAAATTAATTTTACCTGAATTACAACAATTCAGCATTATACCCTAAAGTTGATAAGGCCCATAAACTGTAAAATTGTAATAAATATTGCGAGCGTGCAAACTGAGTTATTGGAGTCACCAAAACTGGAAAATTAAATTAAAATCACTATATACAACTATACTGCTTGATTAGAGTTTCTATTCGAATAAGGTTTATTCAAATTATTTGTTTACTCACTATGAATTTGAGTATTCAAATTGCATTGAAAGTTTATTCGAATAAAATGAATAACGAATAATTCGATAATTCGATAATTCAAATAAGACGAATAAACAAATAAAATAAATAATTCAATCGATAATTTAAATAAAACAAATAATTGAATAATTGAATAAAACAAATAAATGAATAGTTCGAATAAAACCAATAAAGGAATAATTCGAGTAAAACGAATAATTCGAATATTTCAAACAAAATAAAGGAATAAAGGAATAATTCAAATCGTTCAAATAAACGAATAAATGAATAGTTCGAAATAAAATGAACAATTCGAATAGTTCGAATAATTTGATTAAAACGAGTAATTTGAGTAAATGAATAATTCAAACAAAATGAATAGTTCAAATAAAATGAATAATTCGAACAAAACGAATAAAGAATAATTCAACAAAACGAACAAACAAATAATTTGAGGCAATTCGAATAAACGAATGATAACAATTCGGATAATAACAAACGAATGATGATAATTCGAATAATAAACTAATGATAAAAATTCGAATAAACTAATGATAACAATTCGAATAAACGAATGGTTTGAATAATTCGAATAATCAACGAATGATAACAATTCAAATATACGAATGACAATAATTTGAATAAACGAATGATAACAATTCGAATAATAAACGAGTGATAATAATTCGAATAATAAACGAATGATAACAATTCAAATAAACGAATAATTCGAATAGATAAACATGAATGATAATAATAACCATTCGAATAAACGAATGATAATAATAACAATATTATAAATTAATGCTAAATTCGGCTGCGCTATTCATATCTGTAGATAAATACAGAACAAAAATGTACCTTTTCAATATCTTACAAATTCCATGTTAATTCCGTACTTGTCATTACATTTTTAAAAATTAAAATCATCTTTCCACCACTACCTATTAAATGTGTTGGAATATTTACCAAATCACAATTAATGTTTATGAATATTGCTATCCTGTTGATCTGATTCTGCTGACAATGATTCAGCTTGCTGAATTGATCCATTCAGTAAGTAGAGTAAAAAATGGGGTCCAGACAAAATTGATTTAGACCACGCTCGAAGTTGCGCATTTCATTTTTTAGGCCATCTTCGCGCATGCCGCCTCCTAGTAGTTATCTAATTTATTATATCTCAATTGCGCCAAAAGGTCACCTGATTGAGTCAAGTGATCAGCCTATTTTTATCACATGCGCCTGATTCGAATATTCGATGGTTTGTACAGTTTGTAATTCGTTGGAGTAAGAATGAGAAAAATATCAACATATTTAATTCATGTATAGATATTCTCTTTCCTTTTAAATATCAAAATAATAATATTCTTTTGAGAAAAGTTTCTATAAAATGTCGAGATGGATTCCAATAATAACAATAACAGTAATAACTGTGATGGTAGTGGTGGTGGGTATAGGGTGGTTAATAAAAGATTCTTATTTTGATTAGTTGAATTGATATATTAGGAAATTTTGATTTTATATTTATTTTATTTCTAAATTGATGGAAACAATTCATAGAGTTCACAACAACAACAAACATTTAATTACTCGAGTCAATAATCTAATCTGATCCCAAAATAAAGGATTTTGATTGTTACACTTTTCATTTGATTTCACAATTTAAATTGTGTGAAAAATTATTTAAAAAGTTAAAGATGAAAAACAATTTAAATAATGAGAAAAAAGAATATACAAATTAAAAAATTACGTGTATAAATCATGTGGATCGATTTCAGAACAATGTAGGTCATCATATTGTTTTTATCGTTATGCATTTTGGCAATTCATATTTTTATTTTTATTGTTATATACTGTATATATTTACCGTTAATTTTCTTGAGATGTGCTTCAAACATACTCTGCTAATAAATCAAACTATTTAAGACGCAATCTTTAAAGCATAATTGAAAGCATGTTTGGAACGTGTTTCGAGTGGGCATTAAAAATATTATGTTTAAACTCGGTCTAGTTATGCCCCACCGAAGAAAATTAACATATCCGCTCTTCTCCAATGAGCTCTGCAAAGAAGAGAAAAGATAATATTATTTACAACAGGTTGAAGTTTGTAAAGCTCAGATTTTCCAAAAAGGAATTCAAAAAAAAATTTTCGCTTCCTAAACAATAAAGGATAATACCGATTCTAATTAATTTCTCTTACGCTAACTAATCATGACTTGTTTATCAGAAAGCTTTGGCGAATTAAATGTTGCCAGATAACTGTAAATAAATAAAGATGGAATTTTTACGAAGCTCAAATACCTCTATAAGTTACTTGTGACCAATTTATTCAGTCATTTATATTTATTGGCCAATTGCAAACTCAACTTTGGTTTATTTAAAAAGCAACTTATACGTTTACGATTACGATAGCATTTCAAATTAACCTTTGGACAATACTTCACTAGCTGTTGGTTGCTAACACACACTTGCTTTAATTTTTTTTTTTTTTTTTATGAATCTAATATATACATAATATTGTTATATGTTCACTAGATTTCTCATTACAAGAGAACAAAAATTTGGGAACAGACAAAGCTCGTTACAGTGAACCTATCATCTGAATTTTTGCCTATTGCCGCTATATGATGATATCGATGATGAGGATGATTTTGAATAACGGTCATAATAATCATCTGAATTGCGTGGTGAAATCGAAGATTCGTAAGTATTATTACTATTACCACTGCCTTTTCTGCTTTGATTGTGATTGTTTCCACCACAATCATAATAATAATAATACGGTAAGTTATTGCCAATATTTATTAGATTTGGTGTTATTAATGATGTTGTAGGCGATGATGGAATTGAATAAGAAGGGTCAAGAGGAGTTTCAAATATTTCAATGTTGGCTGTCGAGTGAATCCTACGAGTAAGGTTTGGAGATGATGATAATTCACTTATTGGAGTAATAGTATGCAGTGTTAATAAAAACTCTACATTTGAATAATCCATTCCTCCTTCCATTAGTGGAATCGGCCCAACTATAAAAGAAATAATTAAATCAATAAATAAAATATGTATAATAAATATATAATTAGTTATCATTTATTAATTACCATTAGAATAACCAGACTTTATTAAATTTTCCCAGATCCGGTTCTCGGATTTATTATTAGATGGGCCAATTTTTATTTTAGTTGAGCATCTCTGATTACTTGAAAGCACACAATGAATAGTCAGTTCACTGGTCTTGTCAAGTAAAAATAGGGATACTGGCCATTTGAATTCTGATTGTGAGGTTTTCCAGTAATCCTTGGTTGAATGTTTGTCTTGATCCAACTTAAATTCTAAAGGACCATAAATCCCGCACAAATCCTTATATTTTAAACGGGTTATTAAAATCATCCCAGTCCTTTCTTTTTCTTTATAAGATATGTTCTTGGGCGGCTGATTTACTATAAAGTAAATTTTGAACATTAATTCAATTTCATTATTTAAACAAATCTTGACTCTGCTGTTTTCGGTTCGTTGATAATTCCTCATTTCACAAATACTCTTCTTCACTTCAATTAAAACACCTTCTGGTCCTTTGATTCTATTGTCCCAACATTTAATAATCAGGTTCGCATCTTTGTCAGCATCCAATCTTTTTATGTTTAATAAAATATTCTCGTTCCAAGATGCATCCTTGCTTAATTTATCCGAGGCTAAAACACTTGTAGAAAATAAATAATGAAACAAAACAAAAAAAAAGTAAATAATAGACAATACAATTCACAAAATATAATAAATAATAATAATGTGATGATTACACTTTACGAGGAGTGGTGTATTGGCGTTCATCATTGTACTGAAATTCTATCTGCAATTTTGGTTCATTCATGTTAAGAGCCGTTTTAAGTTTTTTAAATTTCGAAAAGTTCTTTCTTGATTTGTCATTCATTAAACGGCTTTATTTTGTTTAATTTTTATTAAGAAAATTTAAATTAATTAATTTATTTTATTTTGAAATTTAAGCTTTTCTCAATTTTATTATTTACCATTTTATTTTTTTAATTAAAATGGCTCCCGCATTTCCTTGATAAAAATTTGAACAATTCATTTTTTTATCTGTTTTTTTATTTCTTGAGAGAAAAAATTCAAATTACACAACATAATACAACAATAATAATAACCAATTCAAATTTTAGGCCAATAAAAATAAAAATAAATTTTCTTTTTTTTTCTTTTGTTTTATGTTTATAAAAAAATTTTGAAAATTCATTATTTTATTTAATAATTATTATTGTCATGTAAATGTTTTTTATTTTTGAAGAGAGTTAAAATTCTGATAGATATAATAGTAATCAATTCAAATATATATATCTTTTAACGACATACTTTTTTGTTTTATATATTTATATTTATATTTATATTTATACTTATTATTATTATTACTATTATTATTTATTACTATTATTATTATAATATTACCTCAGAAGAAAGTTATAATGAAGGATTAATCAACGATGACTTTATTAATTCACAAAAATATATTGAAATTAGTAGTGTTGCAACGTTCAGGAATCTTCGACAAAATCCAACATACATAATCCATTTAAACCTGGAAATTTTAAGACACCAAGAAATCAACCAAACAACATTGAATTTTGCAAGAATTAATCTTCGTACTGACTTGGGACAAAAATAATTAATAATATGTTACTTACAACCATTTTCAGTCACCAAAAATGTATATTTTAAAAAATGTCATCTTCTCGGACCCAAGATATAGGGCTCCAGACTGTCACAAATTAAAAATTATAATAACAAGGGCTGTTCTGTTCCCTGTCGTTGTTACACGATCAATTATTGACAAGAAGGAACGGAGAACGGTGCAAGAATGAAAACGAGAAAACCAGTTCAAAAATAGCTTACACTAATAACGATCAACGCCAACATCAACACCAACATCAACATCAACATCAACATCAACATCAAAATCAACATTAACATCAAAATCAACATCAAAATTAACACCAACATCAGCACCACATCAACACCAACATCAACACCACATCAACACCAACACCAACATCAACATCAAACTATTTTATCCTTTCTCTGATAGACATCAATATTGTCATCAACAACAAAAATGAATTGTTTATACAGTTCCAGAAATGGTTTTCCTAATACTGGCGAACACCACCAACTTACACACAAAAACCAATAGCAGATTTTATATGTGCGTGAACTTTTTTTAAAAAACGCATTTTATTACGTAAATCAGTTGTACAACAAGAAAACAATCATTTCATTGATTCCACTAGGACTTTTAAGCATTTTTTATTGGACACCATCTATCTCAACATTAATGCTCTGAAAAAACCGAAATTAAACGAAAAAGTTCCATTCGGAGCATGAAACATAATTGGTTGATTGATATGTCCAAAGCACTAGTCAGACCGAAGCTGAACCTTTACTCAACATACCAATATTGATATTCAAAAAAGGTGTTGAGTATAACGAATCTGCCATGGTTTTATGTACAAGGATCCTCAAGCGAAATCTTGAAAATCAACTTTTATTCATGCACTATTGCTGTGCTGCACACATTTCAAGCCTTGCTTGCACAACAAGGTTTTGAAATTATAGATGTGCAAGTTGATTTAATAAGAAATCTGATGTCTAAAATTAAAGGCTCAGTAAATTTATGTGATTCAATAAGAGGACTTTGTAATGTTGAGAGAGTTGATCACCTGAAACCGGAAATTGATATAAAAACCAGGCGGGACATCACATTCTGTATGAAGACGACATTACGTACGTTGGGAACTGAAGAAGCATCCATTCAAAATCTTTTACCTGATATAAATGGTGTAAAACAATTAAGAAAATTAGAAAATTGATCTTTCATTTTATTAAGATATAATCCAATTAAAATAAATAAATACATGATACATTGGCTGATGTTCGGTTTTTGTTTTTAGAACAAGAAAACCGGATTTGGTTAATCAGAAAAGAAACAGCGGACATTTTTATTTGTTTCCGCCTAAAGATCTTTGATTTTTGTTTTAGTATATAATAATAATAAAAGAATTTTTGAATTGATAACCGTTTTTTATGATTCCACGTGTTATTATGTTATTTACTATCCAAATCTCGAATAAAAGAAAACTATATACATTTAAAATTCGTTATGCCAAAATTACTACTCGCGTTTCAACGAATTTTATATGCGAAGCAAAAAAAATTCACTGAAACAAGGTTTGCCTGTAGTCTGTATATGCTATCATTATATTATGTTTGCATATATTTACATTTAAATGTCTGCATGTAATTATTACGCTATAATTAATGGATATGACATATTAATATATATAGGAAACTCGAATTTCTATAACTTTTTCTTGAATAAAGAAAATAATGTCAAGTTTCGACTTGGAAAACAAACAATGACATTAATATTAAATAAATGACCAAAAATATTTGCTAGTATAAAACCTATTTCGTCTCAAACGATTAAGTTGCCCTCCCACAAAATCAAGCTTTTATGAATTGGATTATTAGTATTAGTTTGCCAATTGCAAACCAGTTTTACAGGTATCCGGTTAAAGCCGTTTTTCTTTATTGTTATATTTAAACCAATACAAGATTGTCTAAAAAAATGAATTCCCAATCAATATGAATTAGCTACTTCAACAAATGCAAATTATTGTAATATAATTGACCTAGAGACAAAACAACACTTTTTAAATATGCCACTAGCTTGATTCTGCGGTTAATTGTTTTCATAAAAGAATGAATGCCTTCAAACCAGCAACAAAATTTATCTTCTTACAACAATTTTTAGAGACATCGCTTTTAATGGATGGTGAAAATCAATATCAGAAACAATTCTTATCACCAAATAATAATATTGACAATGATAATATTGATAATATTCAATATCAACAACAATCTTAACCATCGCAAAATCATAATCATGGTCGTAATGGTAAAGTCGAACAACATTTATCTTTTCCAAGTAATGAAAATATTTATCCATTAGCTTAGTAGAAACCTCATGAACATGAATTTACAAATGGCAAAGGATCATTTAACAATAAAAGTCACAAATGTTCTATATGAACAAACATTTTTCAATAGCAGGAAATAATATCATTAAGTCAAATCCTGAAAAGAGTGTAGGCTAAAGCTCCTCACGATCCAGCTTGCGAGCTGGCTCATGCGGAGCCTTGGTGCAGGCTACAGTTTGTCTGAAACTGGATAGAAAATGGTATCTAGGCAATATGATTAACCTTGGATTTTTTAATGATTTTTTTTTAATTGAAAAAAATAAAATTATTTTTAACGAAATAAAATTATTTGCTATTCACATGACAAATCTTTATGATTTTTTTATTGGTCTAATAATAATCAAACTACACTTCATATATTAGGATGGTCAACATCCAACATAGTTGGACGTTGAAAGAAAACGACTTATTTATTTATTTATAAATTACTCAACCTCCTGAGGAGCATAGCAATCGGTAACGTAGACAGGTGCTAGGAAATGCAATTTTCGTTATAAATTCTTCAGATGTATTATAGTTAACCGCCGCGCTTTAGAAGGTAGATTCGAATTAAACAATAACAGCAGAGAATATGATGATACAAATTACCATATACAACTCATTACAGTTATCGAAATGTGCATGCATCTGTTAACTTGGTCCTTGCAGTACGAGAACGGATGAACTTATAAGAAAGGATGGTTTGTAATGAAATTAAGAAACTGAATAAAGACGAGAAGCATTTAAAAAATTACCTGTGATGATGCTGATGAACCATTTGGCAATATGTAGTTAAATTCTATGATTCCTGGGCACACAAATTTAAATGTAATGGTGGCTTTGGTCCTATATTATTATATCAAAAGACAACGGTTGACTGCGTTGATATATGTAAATGTTGTGAAAAGATCTAGTGCCGCTGGATTGAACAAAACTCAATGCTATGGTGCTGGAAAAGGCTTTCAATATTTTGATTTATTTTAAGAAATTAAATGGCATTCAAAAATTTCTACATTTCTTTTCACAACTTTTTACTTATCCTGGTCATTAAAATGTTCGAGAAGTTGTAAGTTGTCGATGGGCCTTTCTATGAGTACATTCTATTGATAACTAAAAAAAAAAAAGGATAAAAGATATTAAAGCTTTATCATTTCCCACATTAACATTCACTCCTATCACGATCACGAATATCTTTATAATGATGTTTGCCCATTTTCAGAGATCCTCCACAAAATATTGACAACTAGCTTAAGATGGCTGTTAATTTTCCTTCGCCTCGGTAAATCCCAAAGTATTTCTTTCTTTATTTAAACATTCTTTGATTGTTATTTATTTTAAAACATGACGGAGCTATTTTCTTATCTTGTTCTTTCTTCTAATGACGCTATGATTCTTGGGCTCCATAGTAGATCTTGTGTAAAATTAGTTTTCATATAATAATAATTTTAATATAGAGATAAATCCGATATATATAAATATCTAATAAACTTGAAAATTTCATATATAAAAACAAACATATTATGGAAAAACCAATATTGATATTAATTGGTGGTTGTTTCAGTTCAGGAAAGACAACGAGATAAAAAAAATGGAAATTTTGTTGTTCATCATCATTATTATCGCAAGCATTATAAACACCTTTCACACAAAATAAAAGTTAAGATGATCCCAAAACCATAGATATGGATGGAACTTCTTATAGAAGAGTTAAAAAGGACAAACATCCTTCATGAAAAAAAACCCTCTGAAAAATGGCAGATCTTAAATTTTTGTATTAATTTGAACAATAGGATTTTAAGAAATATAGAAAGAAGCTGAAACATTTAATAAAAAACATGTTCAAAATTATATTCGCAATGTAGAAAAATTGTTGGGTCAACTAGAGAATATGCTAATGTGATTTTTACTAGAAAAAATGCCAAGTCCACCACTCATTATAATCTGTACTTTGAGAAAAAAAAAACAGTCAAGAAAAAAGAATTTGCCATCTAAACCAAAACTAAAGAGAAAATTAGCCATTTGCGGAATTTTATATTTTTGGATTTTCTGCTTTAATTTTTTAATTAATCATCTTTTATGGAGAAACCGGCCGTTAATTGCATTAGTAGTAGTAGTACAAATATGATTATGATGAATATTAAAAAAAAATTTGGTCCCTGAATATAAAAATGGAATGCTTACAAAATTCACAATTTATGTTTAAAAAAAAAATGAATCATCACTTTCGATTAATCTATTATTATTGTTGTTGTTATTGTTTTGTTATATTACTATGAACGAAAAGTCTAGCCTAACTTTTTATTACATATTAAACTCGGCCAGAATTAAACAAGATCTGCAAAATTTATTCGATTTTTGTGTAGTAACAAAAGGAATTTATTATTGAACCAAATCGAAAAATTTAGCAATATGTCACCCACACCTTCTCCACAAGTTCAAGCTACATCATTATCAACGCAACAGCAACAGCAGCAGCAACAGCAACAGACAGCGCAACAACAACAGCCTTTAACACAACAACAACAGCAATTACAACAACAGCATATACAACACCAATTACAACTACAACAACAGAGACAATTGCAACAACAACAGCAGCAGCAATTGCAACAACAACAACAACTGCTGTTACAGCAACAACAGCAACAAATACATCGAACTTTAAATCAAAACATACAAACTATAAAATTGGACATTCATAATTTACAAGAGGCTTTGAAAAATCCTCATCTGACTCCCCAAGTTAGACAGGAAAAGGAAACAAAGCTTAGTTACTATAGTAATCTTTTAAGAACTCCAATATCAGGCATATATTTATACATATTTATACAATACTTCTTATCTAAGTATTTAAAATGAATTTTTTTTATTATCTTACAATACTCATTCATACTTATGCATAAATATGTATAAATATATGTTGTATAGTCTCACCGATGGTCAGAACTTCATTACAAAGCACATCTGCACAAGCAATGCCACTCAACACATTAACACAAACTGGCACTTTATCTTCACAACCAGGTTAGATAGATGATTGATTTGATTTAAACTTTTTATTTTTATTCTTTATTTATTTTATTTTTTATTCACAATTTTACATGTATATACATTTTATTAATTTAGGTAATAATGATTTTGGGCAAATTATTTCAATTCCTCGACATGATATTTATATTTATTATTTACACTTGTATGCTAACTTTGTTTATTCTGCACTCAAATATAAACAATACGAAGGTCAGATATTAACAAATAATTCTATCATCCAACAACAATTATTAATGCAACAATTTTCATCCACTTCACAAACAGCTCTACAATCGTCACATTTACAACAAGGTTCACATTTTAATAATGTTCAGATAAATTCCTCATCAATGATGGATATTGATGTAGAAAAATTTCAAATATTAAAATCTACTAATATGACTAATAATAATAATAATAATAATAACAATAATAATAATAATAATAATAACACTAATACAGATACCTTAACAATGTCATCGACATCAACATCGACATCGACATCAGCATCGACATCATCAAGCACAAGCACTAATATCAGACCAATAACACCGATAATGCCAATAACACCTGCAATTACGACAAATTTTTCACAAACATTAACCTCAATGCCAGGAAAAGAACAAATTTTATCATCTAATACATATTTAACTCCAAGTTTAACACCAGGTACTTCACAATTACAAATTACGGATTCTGATAATATTGAAAAACCAATTGTTGCAAAACGTAAAATCCAAGAATTGGTCGAACAAATCGATCCTAGAGAAAGATTAGAACCAGAAGTAGAAGATGTGTGTTTGTTTGTTTATATACTTTATTATTATTATTATTATTATATATATATATATATTATTGGTAATAATAATTGAAAATTTTTTTAGTTGCTATTGGATATAGCTGATGAATTCATAACATCAGTAACTTCCTTTGCTTGTCGACTAGCTAAACACAGAAAGTCAGATACATTGGAAGTAAAAGATCTTCAATTGCATCTAGGTATCATAATTATCAATCTTACTCTCTCACGATCGATTGAAAAAAAAAGTGTTTATTTGTTGTAACTTACTTGTTATTTTCTTTTTTAATGATTGATGATCAGAACGAAATTGGAACATACGTATTCCGGGTTTTGCTTCTGATGAAATTAGATCAGTAAGAAAACCAGTGATAGCTGCTGCACATCAACAAAAACTTGCCGCTGTAAATGGTGCACGAGCTCAAAGTACATCATCTCATTAATCTTTTATTATTATTATTATTATTATTATTATTATTTATATTATAACATAATACATTTTATGAGGATAATGGATTGATATGAATGACGAGATGAATAAATATATATTAATATTAATATATTGACATTTATAATTTTTTCCCGATTCTTACAATTCTTAGAAATATATTATTCATTTATACATTATATATATATATTAATTTAGAAATAATGATGTAATATAAATATACGTTATATATATATATATATAGATAAGCAACACATAAATATAATCCATCAATATTAATATTAAATAAATTTTATCTTTTGATGATAATAATGTGTGTAAATAAATTTTAAAATTTTGTTTTAGACAGTTGATAGGATTTATTGAATTGAATTAATAACGAACGGTAGCCAAGCTATTAAATAACATTCGATGTTTTCAATATTTAAATAAACGATGTTTTTTTATTATTAGAAAAAATAAAAATGATTTATTTATAAAGAGTTAAAAATTGTTAAAAAGTAAAAACAACAATAAAAATGAAGGATTACTTGTCGATTTTGTAACAACAATAACTCCATTAGGAAAAATTGGATTGATGATTTAAGGTTACTGAATTATCTTTAGAATAGATTAACTTATCTCTCTGCTTTCACTTATTAAAACTGATCAAGCAAGCATATTGGAATAATCAATCTTTAACATTTGTTTATTTGCTTTTTTTTTTAATCCTCAATTATTAAAAGTTTTATTGAAAAGAGCCAGCGCGTTGAAACTCATTCTTATATTGTGGCAAGGTATTAAAAGAGGGGAATTGTTTTTTTAATATTAAAATAATTATTTTCTTTCAGTCGATAAATAACACGCCAACTTTTAATATAAAAAAAATCAATTTATCAAAACAATATATATTATTGTTGTCTTGGATAACAGGTTCTTGTTAACAAGATGTCCAGCAAAAGAAAAGTTTGTGTTAGTATGTTGTGCAGTAGTATCACATGATTTAATCGACGCTGGTACCCTTTTTTGAAAGTATCCTTCACATCCCATGCTTGTAGTTAAACTCGTGGTGTAATGTTAAATGCTCCTTTCATTAATAATATTAAATTTTCTATCGGAATGCTAAATACTCATTAAATTTCTACCGTATGTAACTTAGGTTTGGATGTGAAATTTAATGTTTCAAGCACTTCTATATCTTCAATTTGATTTGTCTCAACTATAAACGCTATGATTATGAAAATTCGCATACTCTTAAGAAATTTCATTGTTTCATTGATTTCTTCTTCAGAATAATTTAAATATTTACATTGTAATAATATTTCACCCGTAACTTCCTTTTCATTTTTGGCTTTTAGCAATACATTAGTTAAATCAAGTTCTTGGATATGTGCAAAACCAGGTTGAAAAAGCATACTCTGCGCCATCTACTTTAAACATATCTTTTGCGGTCTGAATCCCTTTTTGCCATACTTCTTGATGTTTTTCATTAATTGGAAAACAAACCGGCCAGGGTACTTCTTTGTCCAGATCTAGAAACTTTGCTGTTTCAGGTAAAACATTATTTTGTATTTGTTCTGAAATTGTAACGTGGACGGCATGGAGTTTTTTTACTTACATAATGCTGTGTAAGTTTTTGCAGAGTTGAAAATTCATATTTACAAATTTCACACGTATGACATTTTCTAGGAGACATTGTTGAAAATATTAACGGTTTTATAAATTACTTTTATAAAAATTTTTAATTTTTTATTTAGAAAAACGTAATAGTATTTTCCAGAACGATTTACTATTTATTTTTAAATATGTCGCAATTAAAACCAATTATGGTATATACAAAGGGAAATATCTCAAGAAAAAAGCAAAAGTATGACGTAAATTTAAACCAACCGTTGTTATATGGGATGGTGTCTAGCAAAAATCACATCCGAGGTAAATATATAGAAAAAAGAAATTTCCCAAATTTAGAAAGCAAAATTTTATGTTATATCAAACTCATTCTATTTTTAGTATGCATGATTTTATTAAGCAAACAGGGTTTAATAAAAAAATGCAAATTTTGGTCAGAGGCGGTTTATTTCATTGGGCCACCGAGTCATTTTAACTAAATCTGGTGTTTAAAGTGAATTTTCGATACAATAAATTATTAACTCTAATTATTGAATTGGACTGGAAATAGAAACCACAGTTACTAATTATGTGAACCTGACTGTTTATTCTAATATAATACAATGATAACTACTGTTGTTGATAATTAATTGTTTGTATTATTAACACATACATAAAACGTGTATATGTTGCTCTAACATGAATTATTTTACCCGAACCTGGTGAACTAAGGACACTGTTAAAATTAATGACGAAGACGACAAAAGATTTGAGGTATGCAATAGTTCCTCGATGTCTAATATTTATTTCATATATATACATTTAAAATTAAATGAATATGAATATCAGACATTTTTAAATGAACCTTACGTTGAATTATCAGAGAATAATAATACACTCAAAATATTGAGACGTGACTCACCATAGACTTGACTGGGATAAGATATTTTATTGAAATGAAGTGTATATACTGTATATATATATATTTATTTATTTAAAATTATATAAAATCGGCCAAGAACTTCCAAACAAAATTTATGGTTAAGAATTTCAAAAATATGAAAATCATCAATTTTGAAAACAATATAAACATTAATATGTTTCAGATTATTATTTCTATTTCTCGATTATAAATTAAAGATATATATTATTATTATTACTATTATATTATTATTATAATTATAATTATTGTTTTTATTGTTTTTTTTTATTACTAAACGCATACATGTAACATTTTTCCCTTTCTCCAGCTTTCTACACTTTTAGAAATTCACTAATAAGTTACTCTTCCTTAATCGAAGTTGCACTAGAAGTAAATGAGTCGGGCTTTTTTTGCTTTTAGATCTGATTGCAAGAAAACAATCCAAACGTTAACTGATAAAAAAAGAAACAAAATTAATAAATGTTTCCACTTACCATTTACATATTCTGCTACAAATTACAATTTAAATAAGAAAGATTTGCGGGCCTCTGACTAAAAAATTTTATGGGTAAGTCTATTTCAGTCAGGGAGATTTCCAAATTTGGAAATCAATTCTAGAAATTTTTGTTGATCAATTCATATACGTTACAAATGAGT